GCCGGGCAGGGAAGGTATTCCCTGCCCCCGCCCCCCCCCCAGCCATGGGCTTGCTACAAGATGTGCAGCTGGTGGATTAGGGCAGTGGGGTTGTACCTGCCCCATCCCTGCAGCTCTTTCCAAGCCCCATGCCTCAATTGTGAAGTGGGAACTAAAAGATAAGGATCTCCCAGCCTCCACTCCCTGATCATGATCTCAGAGCAGGGGGCTTTGAGATCCCTGCTGCTGGGGCAGGGGGACAGAGCCCCTGCCCAGGCTCTGGTAGCAGAGCCTGTCCCAGCAGCAGGTGGTTCCCAAAGACAGGGTGCAATCTTCTGTACCCTGATGGCTGACTGACTGGGAACAGATTTGCTGCCGGTCAGGCATCTACATGAGTGCTACTGTGCAGTTAGTAATGACAAGTAAATTTGCTACTTGTACTTGCAGGTAGCAAATTGACTCATGATTAGCAAGGTTTACTACGCAGTAAGCATGTGCATGTGTAGGATAGATAAAGCCTTAAGGGACAGGCAGTGAGTTCTCCCAAGTACATCTCTTCCATTGTTCTTTAAACATATAAAACAGATTAATTTGGATTTTTCTAATTGACAGGAAATTCCAAAAGGAAAATACTTGCATTCTCTGTTACCACATATGTTGTATGAGTATTTATCAGCAGTGGGACAGTTCTTGTCCAGACATTAATACACTACCATCATCATTTTACATTCTCTTCTGTCCCCTTCACCCTTCTCCTTTTCCCATAATAATGCTTTTTTGTAACAGGGGGAAAGGGAGTTGAATAGAGTTTTCCATATATAGCTAGTTTAACACAAAAAATGAAGTAAAATTAATAAGAAAACAAATGTGTATATTCAGTCTTCAGTGACACCTCCTTTCATGTCTATGAAAAGTTGGAAATAAAAAAATAACAGAGTTTAGAAATTAAAGTCTTAAAGTGTAAAGTCCTGTAACATGGATGATACAAATTGTTTTATATTTGCCTCAAATTTCACCTTCAAACACTATCCTCCAGTTCCTTGGCTTAAGGTTGGCACCAAATTTAGAATCCTTTATGATTGTTAGAGTGGGTGTAATTAATTCTGAGGGGTCTAATTTTGTGTCTTACACATTGCTTCCATATTTGGCCTCAAATGAGTTGTCATATCTGTCCATTATTTTGAAATGCTCTCTTTTTCTTTTTCAGCAAAGCATACATTTGTTCATATTATGTCAGCGCTTCCGTGTTCTGTTATGCATTTATTGAAGGTTTCACCTGTAGGCAAACAGAAGGAACAAATTCATTAAAAAATGCAGTACAGTGATATGCATATTAAAAATATTTTCTCCTCCTTTTTGCAGCCACAATAGAGAAACCTCATATACACAGTAAGTATAACATTGATAGAGTATTTTTAACGTTTGTTTGTGCAAGGATGACAGTTCCTCATGTTCCTTGCCAGAATTAAGAGATTAATTATTAGATTCAACATATTGAGCCATTTGAGGTCTTAAAGGAGAGTTCTAGGTATAGAAAAGGGGTGAGATGAAAGCCAGCAGAATTACTTGACATTTTACTGGTATAACAAAGATCAGATTTCAGCTTATCAGTTCTGGGCTCAAGAGTCACCAAACAAAAATGGGACAAAAATATCCTTACAGAAAGTAATTTCAGTTAAGGGGATAAAATACTGTAATAAGTGCTAGACAGAGGTGGCCAAAATTCAGAACGTGCATTTCAAAGGAATTGTTGATGTTTTGAAAAATTGTATCTAGTTACTGTCAGCATTAAAACAGTATTTTGAAAGGTTCTCTGAAATATAAATTCCAAAAAAAGTCTGTTTTGGTAAAACTATTTTGATATATTACAATTTTTTGTTTAATTGTTTTAGATTTGTATTTTATTTATATACATATTTATATTGTTTTATTCCTTTTTAAATTATTCCATAACATGCTATACAATGGTGCACAATATAGAAAGAATGATTCCAGACTAACACAAAGATATTGAAAATAGTTCTTCTCGTATTAGTCCCCTAAATTCTTTTTTTCCAGTTCTAAGTATCTGTTTAAGAATTAACACGGTACAAGCAACATATTCTTCAATGAAGAAGATAAGATATTTCTGTCAGGTTTAAGTAGTAGCTTCCCTTATTTAATTTTGAAATTTTACTAAATTAAAATAAATTAAAACTAAAATATTTCACTGTTCTCTCACTCATATTATGATAGAATGTGCACTACCATTAGGGAGGGGTCATGAAATAATATCTTTTTTAACAAACCCTTAACATTTGAAATTAAATTTCAAATCCCCAAATGAATTTTTGCAGTTTTCTAAAAGAAAAGATTTAAAAGTACCTTGTAGGAAATGTCACTGAATATCAACAATATAAAAATTTCACCTTTGTCAAAACAGTTTTGTCTGATGAATAGCTGTTTTGATGAATCATGTAAGCAGCTTTACTAATACATAGACAGTTATGACAGGAAGGTAATTAAAAATCTAATTTCTAATGTGTGGTGGTTCTTTTTTGCAGAGCATGAACCCGTAAAGCAGGAAAAAGCTGTTTCTCATGCCAAAATAGGTAGGTTTTTCTATTCAGATCTCAGATTCATGGGTATCTATGTCTATATCCATAGATAGATAGATGGATAATATAATACATGAATATTAACATATTCATTGTGCCATAAATGTAAAATTGACCTGGGGCCTGAGGGATGGATTGTGAATGCCGGATTGTATGAGCAACTGTTCATCAATGGCAGCAAGACCTTTACTTTCTGACCCTAAAGGACCTGAAT